GAAGGTCCACTATCTTGCACACAGTTCACAGCGAGAAGCTGCACAAACACACACAAATCACAAGCCCCAAAAGAACCAGCACAACCAGACGCGGCATCGCCAGCCCACGCGGCAAGCCACGTAGACAGGATTCCAACGGTGGAAGCATCAAGAGTGTCGCTGGAGAAGCCTTTCCGTCCATCACTGTGACGTCTGATTCCTCCGGAGAGCTCGACGCCACTGGAGCAGGTAATGGATTTACTGGCAGAAGGTAAAAAGTGCCTCAAGCAAAACAAAGCAGGATCAAGCTGAACCGGCAGGCACACAGTCCACAGCGAGAAGCTGCACAATCACACACAAAACACAAGCCCGAAAAGAACCAGCACTGCTGGCACCCAGACGCGGCAGCGCCAGCCCAAGCGCGAAGCCGCGCAGACAAGCAGCCTAAGGGTCAAGCAATCAAGCAACAAGCAGCAGGAGCATGCAGGAGGAATAAAATCCCTTAGACGCGATACCCGGAGGCAGCCGACTGACCACTGTCAGTCGAGACGTCCGCTGCCGCCACAAAGCGGGCGGCCGCGGACGGAGAAAGGGCAGCCGCCGACAAGGAGCCGGCGTTGCCCGGGGGTCCGCCTGGGGCAGCGGACGGAGGGAGGCTGGACACAGGAACACGGTACCGCTCGAGGTAGTCCTCCTCGCCGCGTAGTAGCCATAGGATTTACTGTCGCTAGCCTCCGAGTCAGCGGTAGCCGAGTCAGTGGTAGCCGCCCGTGACGGCGGCGACGCCGCAGCAATGCCCAAGGACCGGCGTGACCCGACCGATGCCGGGGAGGAAGCAGGCGAGCTCGGACCAGCAGCAAGCACCCCAGTGGTGTCGAGCTCTCCGGAGGCACCCGACGTCACAGTGAGGGACGGAGACGCCTCGCCAGCTCCGCGCCGATCGTCGGGGCCACTCGAAGGGTGTCCCCCATCGGAGTCGGAGACCTCCGGCGAAGACTCCTCGGGCGACTCGACAAAGTCCGAGGAGGAGCTGTCCTCTGGCTCGAGAAGTGCTTGCGCCCGCAAGGGCGTCATGCGCCTCGCACCAGACAAGAGCGCTTCCAGCGTCAGCTGCATGGTGAGGCGCTGATAGGTGGCGGCGCGTTTGCGAGCCAAGACCTCAGCAGCAGGTCCGTCATCAGGCACGAAGTGCCGACCAAACGCCGCATCCTCAAGAGGCATTGAGCGCTGAGCAATGATGTCCGCGAGATACCAGATGAAGCGGAGGGTGTCAGGATGCAGGGTACCGTCCGTCGAGATGGCAAGAGGGATGAACGCTCGAGGAGGAGTAGTCATGGCATATGCAGCGCGATGTTTGCGAATCTTCTCAGACGCTGCAACATGGAGGGCGTCGAGGTTGACCTCCCCCCACTTGGTCAGGTCGGCAGAGCTACCAATGTAAGGGTGGACCAACGTCACGTCCGCCATCAAGCCCTCGTACTGCTCGGACCCTCGATCGCGGATTCCAGGGATGTGGATATCGCCCTTCATCTTGCGGCCATGAGGATGGGAGGGTACCTGCCGTCGAGAACGAGGATCCCCCACTGTATCGATGACGCTCTGAAGACCAGCTTCGTTCAGCATCGACCGAATCGTACGAGTAAGGTTGTCATGCGCCGTGGGAAGCTTGGAGGATCGGCGTTTGCAGGTCTGGAGATGATGTGCAGCAACGGAGGGGTCGAGCTCGCGCTGACATCCATCACATTCCGTCGGACACTGGCAGATCGGCATGCCATGGAGATAGCAGTCGAGCATCTGAGCATAGCGGTGCGGGAAGGCCTTGAGGGGGTAGTAGCTCGAGACTCGCATCGGAGAGTGGCTCAGGTCTGTTTGCATTTCTTGGATCGGTACCGTCAGCGTGCGCCCAGCCTCCAAGTGTCCGCTGACGGTCCCAGGCGGACCCTCAGGCAGCGCCGGCTCCTTGTCGGCGGCTGCCCTTTCTCCGTCCGCGGCCTCGCGCCGGCGCCGGACGCGTCGACTGACAGCGGTCAGTCGGCTGCCTCCGGGTATTCGACGGCGTCAGTATGAGGGTGTTCACGTCCCCTGCTGTACGCCGAGGGATGAGGATGTTTACTCGCAGAAGGTAAAAGTGCCTCAAGCAGGATGAAAGCAGGAACAAGCTAAACCTGCATGCACAAAGCGCCACAGCGAGAAGCTGCACAAACAACACACAACAAAACAAGACCAAAACGGTGCTCGTTGCTTGCCCCTCTCTGCTGTCTACGTTGCTTCCCGCGTGGGCTGGCAGTGCTAGTAGGGTCTGGTTGCCAGCAGTGCAGTGCAGCTGGTTACTTTCGGTCTTATGTTTCGTGTGTTTGAGCCGCGTTTGTTGCTGTGTTCCGTACACTGCTTTTGTTGCTGTGTGCTCCAAATAGTATGCCTGACGGTTTTGCTTGTTGCTGCTGTCTTCTGCTTGAGGCACTTTTTACCTTATGCGAGTAAAACTCAGTGCCAGAAAGGTCGGGGTGCGCGGCGAGGTACTGTGAGTTTAGCCAGCGGTGGTGCAGTTCTCGAGGCGGCCAGGTGGACAGACAGGCTCTCGGAGATCACCGGGTCAAAGCGACGAATGATCTGTGACTGGCCCGTGGACTCGCGAGAGAAACGGAGATGACCCCTGGAAGAAGCGAAGCTTCGCCGGCGGGCTGGAGATGGCTTGCCCTCACCAGCGTCCTCGTTGAGGGTATTGAAGACCTTTACTCTGATCGGACGGAGTTGACTGGCACTGCATGAAAACCACCGGTTGCCACGGTGCCCATCAGGAGCCTCGGGACCGAGGATCCCCGACTATATCGCCGCTCAGCTACCGTACTGTCCGAGTAAGGTTCAACGGTTCAACGGTTCAACGGTTCAACGACGGTTGCCCGGGACTCATCACTGAGTCATGGCATGCGGCTGAGTGCGCCGGCGCAGCCTATCCCGGAGGACTGTGACGAACTTAGAAAGTGCCGCCTGACAGTGTGTGTTTGCGCGGCACACTGCCGCTGAGCTTTTATCGGGACGGTCCCCGGGGCCCCGGATCACATGATCGGATCGCGTGGCTGCAGTGGCGGCCCGGCAGTGCCCGGCAGCGCCGGGCGCGGCCCGGGCCGGGCCTCGCCGTCGTGCCCGGCCGCATGAGGGGATGAGGGGAGGGTAGCAAGCAGGCCATGCAGGGAGGGCGGGGCGCAGCGAGTGGAGTGTTGATGGTGGCAGCGTCATGCCTCATCAGTCAGAGAGATCCTCCTCCTCTCCTGCCCTTCCTTGCCTCTCGCCGTCTCTCCCCGCTTCCTCTTCTCTTCTTCCCCTCCCCTCCACATCTTCCTTGCCATAATCCGCGCTTCACCTTGCGGGGGGGCGACTCAGTGAGGCTTGAGCGGTGGTCTCATGCGATCTAAGGAGTCATGCAGGAGGAAAATGGATGGGAAGAAGTTAGCGAGGAGCAAGCGAATGAATTCTTAGTCGACGAAGACAACGAAGGGTGAACCCTCTTCGTCCCCATCCCTCCCCTCGTCGCTCCTTACCAACGCTCTCTTCTCCTCCCGGAAGCTGATGTCGTTCTCGCCAGCTGGGCAGGAAGGTCGTTTGAGGGCAACATCCGATACAAGGTGCTGGAGGACGTGAACGCGTCTCAGCCGGGTGGAGCAGGAAGGTGAAAGGTTGAGAGGAGAGGAGCAGCGATAATGCCGAGAGCGAAGGGGATGGAAGAAGCCCAAGATGGGGGACCTGGTCGTCGTCACATGCAGGCGGCTTGATGAGGTAGAAGAAAGAGCGAAGAAGAACGGAGAGCTCTAGAGCTATACATCTTATAGCTCCAGAGCTGTGTAAGACAAGCGCCTGACGCTGGTCGCAGAAGTGCAAGGGAGAACATGAGGGACCTCGGGTGGTCCAGCTTGGCGCGGGAGTCTTGCACGAGTCGATTGAGAAGGAAGGAAGGAGGAAGGAGGAAGGGAGGGGAGGGAGGGAGG